GGCGCCGGAGCTTTGTGTGCGCCCGCGGGCCCAGCGCGAGCCTCGGGGCGGCCCAACTTTGCGGCGCCTGGCCGGCTCTCGAGCGGGGCCTGTGAGGCGTGGCTGGGTGGAGGAGGCGCTTGGGGGGGCGTGGGGCTCCTCAGCGGGCGGCGGAACGAGCAGCGCTGGACAATGAGCTGGGCAGCTCGGCGCGGCGGCCACTTTTAGCTTTGGGCGCGGGCGGGCCGGCGCTTCCGCCGCTGAGGGGCCCCACCTGCGAGAAGAGGGAGGGATGCCGGAGCCAGGTGTCCCGGCGCTTTAAGGCCCATCATAGTCAGAGCTTCCTGCGCTGGTCCTCGCCCTAACGCAAGGCTCCCTGGAACGTTTTTATTTTCTTTTTTTTGTGGGGAGCCCGCGGAGCAGCCGCTATGGCCAGCACCAGGAGTATTGAACTAGAGCACTTTGAGGAGCGGGACAAAAGGCCGCGGCCGGGGTCGCGGAGAGGGGCGCCCAGCTCCTCCGGGGGCAGCAGCAGCTCGGGCCCCAAGGGGAATGGGCTTATTCCCAGCCCGGCGCACAGTGCCCACTGCAGCTTCTACCGCACGCGGACCCTGCAGGCCCTCAGCTCGGAGAAGAAGGCCAAGAAGGCGCGCTTCTATCGGAATGGGGACCGCTACTTCAAAGGCCTGGTGTTTGCCATCTCCAGCGACCGCTTCCGGTCCTTTGATGCGCTCCTCATGGAGCTCACCCGCTCCCTGTCCGACAACGTGAACCTGCCCCAGGGAGTCCGCACCATCTACACCATCGACGGCAGCCGGAAGATCACCAGCCTGGACGAGCTGCTGGAAGGTAGGAGGGGCGGGCACCGCGCGGCAGGTGCGGCCGAGCGCGCCGGCAGGTGCAGTGGCTGCGGGCCCGCGCGCACCCGCCCCCCCCGCGCAGGGGGCGCCTGCCGAGTGCTTTCCAGGCAACCGCGGGCGTTGCATGCTTTTGCGTAGGTTCTGTGTGGGGGGCGCCTGCCCGTACTTATGGACTTTCCTTCTCGAAAGATTTACCTTTTTCAAAAGGGGAGGGGGGAATTCTAATGGTCAGAAGCAGATTTAGGCGTTGGTGGCATCTCTTGAGATTGGTGAACTTATTTATGTTGAAATGCAAACTATTTGAAAAAGTGGCTTTCCCGTGAAGAAACTGGGCATTCCCATAGTTAATGAGCTGTCTCTTCAGCCCTCTGAGTAGACCCTAGTGTAGGCACTTGTGGCGTTCCAAGGTTTGGGATCCTGTTGTACCCGTTCTGCTCAGAAGCTATGGTTGTGAAATGCTTTAGGATTGCTTTCCTGGTTTGGCTTTCAGCAGAAGAGTTACTTGAGGTCAAAGGGGTGATCCTAGCCAGCAGATCTCAACCTTGGCTCCGTCTTGGATCACACTGGGGACTTTAAAAAATACATTTAAGAATACCTGGCCCCCACCCTCAGATTACGTGATGTAATCTGGGGGTGGCTTGGGCATCTAGAGTTTCAAAAGGTCCCCAGGTGATTCTAATGTGCAGCCAAGATTGAGAACCACTGTGTGAAGGGGTTTTCCATATTTGGGTGGAAATGAGGTGAATCTTGCTTCCTCTCTACTGAGATTAGCTAGTTAGAATGATAAGAGGCCATTGGAATCAGCAATTGGGACCTATTATGTATTAGTAGTCCTGGCTTGTTAACCGTGCATTAACTCAGAGGGACTGAATATGTTTGGTCATTCTTAATTCTTGCAGTATTTTCTTGCAGGAAGAAAAACAGTATTTCTAGTAGTTAAGAATCTGTTTCCAGTTCTAATCAGCACCCAGAAAGACCAGACAGAACCGAAGAATATGCTGACTGCATCTTTACATAGTTAGCACCCATGCTTCTTTCTTAACGCATACACACATTCCATGTAGTCAGCAATATTGGCTTGCTGGGGGAAGAAACTGAACATCAAGCCAGGCATTTTTCTTATATTTTCTCAACATGCTTTTATATTATGTTTTCAAAGCATTATCTCCATTTTACAGATGAGGAAACTTAAGCTATGTGCCTTGTCACACAGGCCTGCAACAAGCACAGATGCTGTTACATCTACTGGGGTTCATCTCTAGTAAGTTAATATATCACACTGAGGAGTCCTGAAAGCAGTTGAGTTTCTCTATTGAGTTTCCCTGCCCTGGCTGGATGACAACCCAGCCAAAATTAAATTCTCTTCACTTTGCGTGTGTGTTTGTGGTTTCACACATTCTCTTGTTCAGTTGTGTGTTTTGGTTTTAAAGGCATCTGGAGGAGTATAAATAAAATGAAGATACAGTGTTAAAAGGCCTAATTGCTTTTCTTAATCATGTTAAATACTTTAAAGCAACATTTGTGTAGATATTTCAAAACTGAGTAACCCGTTTGCTGCTGCCCTTGAGATACTGCTCCTCATGTGGTCTGTGGAGGGTTAACGGTTTTAATATCCTTCTCTGAAGTAATGTTGACAATTTATTCGCCCCGTAAAATTAATGTACTTCAAAGATGAATATCATCATAGGAAAGATGATCAAGATAACAATTATGTACATTAATTAATGAGAGCACACATTAATTGTTTTGAGTCTGTCACTGCCCAGAGGATGCATGGCCCACTGGGTCTAATTCTCAGACTATAGTTTCAAGTACAAATTGATGGTTGACAAATTTCCTTCGAATCATTCATTCACTGATGTTTGGAGGATGGAGATTTGGGAAAAACACTATATGTAAAATCCAAATTATACCACAATATTATATATTTATCAAATATTTGCACAACAGATGTTTCTATAACTTCGCCCACTTGTTTCAAGCAATTTTTAATATAAAATTACTGCAGAAGAAGAAAACTTGAGCACTTTTTTTGTCAGAATTTTCTCTGATAGTGGATCTTTGTCTAATTTTTGAATTTCCCACAAAATTAGTGGAATACCCTGTAGTGATGCATTTCTTCAGAAAAGAAATAACCATCGTATTTAATATCAGTTATTCCAGAATGTAAATAGTTTCAACTTTTAGTTAAAATCGTGTAGATTTTATTACGTATATTTATTTATATTGTGTAGAAGAACTAACCAGCTATCTGTGAAGTTATTTGCATTGGTAAAAACAAGCTCATAGTATTGCCAAAGTTGTCAAAATTGGCTTTTTATTTTATCTTGTTGATCATTTTTAATAAGGATTCTCTTAGGAAGTATTTTACACCATTATGATTATTTTTTCCTTTGCCTCTTCCATCCCTTGAAATTGGTAATTTACACAATGTTTTTTCTAACATGTCTTTAGTGAAGAGTAGAAAGTGATGACTAAAGATAGCAGGGCATAAACACTCATTCAGAGCCACAATCCCATTGAACTCAGATGACAAAAGAAATTTGCATGGTCCAGATTTTTTTTTCTTCTGCCCTTGACCTTGAGAGTCTCTGGAGACTAAAAGCTGTGCTAATGTTAGCTGTCATGCCTCCAGCACTACACTAAACTAACCGGCACCTTTAATTTATTGATTTACTCACCCTTGCTGGATTAATTTCACTAAATTGATGCTGTGCATTTCTGTTTATTCTTTAAAACTGGATGGGACCTCCTCTCGCAGGAGGACTGTAATGCATAACAGTCAATATTGGGAAAATCAGGTTGAGCTGTCTGAAACCATGAGCCTGTGGAGCTCGGAGTATCTCTAATCATCTGAGGGTGTCCAGATAAGCATTCTTAAGCTCTTGTTCTGGGCTGAGGCAGAACTCCTAGTCCTAGTTCTGCTCCATGAGTCTCCTTCCCTTCTGAGCATTTTGCCTATATTTGTAAAATTTTGATGTCCCCAGGAGATAAAAACAAGGATATAATAGAAACAATGCCTGAGCAAGTCAGGATCACTGGGTTCTACTGGCTGGAATTTGAGGGAAATTTCACCTCTGTTCTCTGGCCTCAGTGTCCTTTTCTGTAGATTGGCAGATCACCTCTCTAAGTTATGTCCCTTCTAGTCTAATAGTATGTGTCCTGTTCCTACATGAGTGATTATTTGTGGACTGTATGATGGTCTGGTATACGTTTCCCTAGCCAGAACCTGTCTTTTAGAAAATTGATTAGGCTGCACATGTCCCGCCACCAAGCAAGGAGTGGGGTGTGTGGCTCTGATGAGGTGCTTGCTAAGAACCAAAGAAATTAACAGCTACCTGTCTCTGCCTCTCTCATTCCAAAGCAGAATGTCATTTTATGTTATTTCTGCCTTTTACCCATCATAAACAGTAAACAAGCTGATTGAATTTTTGGCATGTGAGAGAATTTTGGCTATTTTGATAAGTGATTCTTTCATTCTTTCGTTGAATTAACTTGAACATTTAAGAAAAACAAAGTTGTAAAGAAGTCAAGCACCTGAAGTTTCTGGCATTCTCCTGCTAGACCTGGTTTCCTGCATCTGTTTGGTTAGATCATTCTCTTTGAAGGTGTTAAATCAAAATACAGTTACTGAGAGAGTTTTTAAGTGAAAATAAGTCTCTATAAGAACCCAAATTATACTCAGGTTGTTTTGTTTTGTTTCTCCCTGATAGATTTTTATAGTAATAATAGAAACTGAGCTTTTAGAACTTGTTATGGTGAGGAGGAAAGAAACCTGAACCCATCAGTAATAAGATATTTGCACGTGGAAGTCAAAAGCAGTACACATTAAGTCATATTTGATGATAGGACATGGCAGTTTAACATTGAATCTTATGTCTGCAAAAGCCTTTTTTACCTGCCAGAGTCCTAGATTCTTCAAGGCCCGCTTCAAATATTACCTCTCTGTGAAGTCTCTGTCCAGACCTTTTGGGCAGTTGGTCTCAAACAGTTGCTGATTGAGGGCTTACTGTGTGCTAGACATTGTTCCACATGTTGGGGGTACAGTCTCCTCCCTCAAGGAGTACATATTCTATGGGGAGAGACAGTCAACATACACCCACACACAAGATGGTTTCAGCTAAAGTGCTGTAGAGGAAGTGGTAATGAGATGGGTCAGGAGGGCCACACTGGCTGGATGATGGATGGAGAAGGCTTCCCAGAGGAACAGACGTTGGAGCCAAGCAAGGACTAAGGTCTAGCTTATTACTCTTTCCTCTGCTTTCAGCATTTTTCTTTATCTGTATTATAACACTTAGCTTCGTAGTTTGATTAATGGTATATCGGGTATGTCTTTTGCACTAGACTGAGAGCAGCCTGAGGTCAGGGATCTTGGACATGCAGTAAATTCATTGAATAAATGATCCAGATGATGACTTTACCTCTCAGTCCCTTGGTTGTCAAAGAAAGTGTGAATTAAGCTTGAATGGGTTTGTTCCAAGATATTTGTGAAAATAGGTATTTCGAAAAATTTGATTATATTGTAGGTAAATCAAAGATTTACTAGTTGGAGAAATTCTGTGCTAACTCACCATTGTGGAGGGAATGACTCTTCTGTAATACTTTCTATAAATCTGATTGTCCTTTTCACTTCATTTCCTTAAAACAAGGAAAATCAAATGTGCTATAATACAGCTGCATAATCTCTTTCCAGAGGTAATGGGAAGAAAAAATTTCATTTGAATAAATAATTCTAAAGGATTGGGGGAAGAAAGGGAGTATGTGGAAGAGTTAGGGTGTGACACAATGTTAACTCTGGTATTTGTAAGAAAAGATCAATATCATGAGGTTTTAAACTATAAAAATAGATATTTTATGGTCCTGTGATATGAAATAAAGGAAACTAGATTCCCTTGGGCAGTGATTGTCAAACTGCTTTTTTCATCGCCTATGGAGCTGAGGGGGTTGCCACATGGTCTGTACCTGCTGGCTTGGTCATTTTCTCCTCAT